AGGGGGCTGGTGCGGAGGGGGAAGAGAGAGGGGGAAGAAAGGGGAAGGCACCAAAGGGACAGGGTAGAGGAGACACAAATGCTGGGGGGAAGTGGAGACACTGAGGAGAAGGGCAGGAGGGGTGGTGTCAGTGGGAAGGGGGACAGGGTGCTGCTGGAAGAGGAGAGGGTCTGGGCATTGGGGATTGGAGGGGGAGGTGCTGGGAGAAGGCTTGACAGAAGGGGTGGGCATGAGGAAGGTGGGGGTGGGGGAAGGAGGAGACACAAATGCTGGGGGGAAGTGGAGACACTGAGGAGAAGGGCAGGAGGGGTGGTGTCAGTGGGAAGGGGGACAGGGTGCTGCTGGAAGAGGAGAGGGTCTGGGCATTGGGGATTGGAGGGGGAGGTGCTGGGAGAAGGCTTGACAGAAGGGGTGGGCATGAGGAAGGTGGGGTTGGAGTAAGTCATATGTGAGGGCACAGGGGCGTGAGGGGATGGGCATCAGGCGGGAGCATGTGTGGACAGAGATGATGTTGCACTGCACCTCCTTTAGCAACATCCTGTCCCGCACAGGGGAACACCCGCCTGGTGCCGCTGCCCCCTCCTATGGCCCTTGCCCATCCATCTGCCCACCCTGCTATGCCTCTGCTCCCTACCTTCCCCATAGCCATCCCCCCTTCCCAAGTGATACCTATGGCCCCTCCTCCTGCCCCCCCGCCAAACCTGACCCAGCTGTAGCTGCCCCTCCTGCCCAACCCTTTCAGGTCCCCAGACCCACCCAGCTCCTAACACGCCCCCACACCCGAGGTGGCAGAGCAGGCCACCACACTAACCCTCCCAATTGTGAACCCCCCTCCCAGTTCAGACAACCACCCTCCCTCTGCCCCCCTTCTGTTTATGTTGAATAAAACCAGACTCATTTTGTTTTCAAACCAAAGGGTGTTTATTAGGCGGTCAGGGAAGGGGAAAGGGGAGGGGATGCGAGGTGGACGGGAGAGAGCGGAAAGGCAGAAGCCCCTGTTGGGGAGGCCCTGGGGCTAATTTCTGGGGGTCCTGAGAGAACCTCTCTCTCAGGGACTCCCGGATGTGCACCCCAAGTGATGGGCCTGGCAGGTGGCAGCAGTCTGGGGCTGGAGAAACACTTGGCCCTCGTGGCCAGCCTCTGCCACCCACCCCGGGAGGAAGGCCTCCCCCTTGAACACCACAGTATTGTGGCGCACACAGCATGTTGCCACCACCTCGGGGATATTGCACTCCCCAGCGGCCAGGCGGGTGAGGAGACAGTGGACCCATCCCTTGAGATGCCCGAAGGTGCACGCCACCTGCACACAGGCTCAGCTGAGGTGGGCATTGAAAAGGTCCTTGCTGGGATCCAGGTGGCTGGTGTAGGGCTTCATTAGCCAGGGCATGAGTGGGTATGCCACATCCCCCATTATTCATACTGACATATTGTTCTCACCCACTGCAAAGTCCTGGTGGGGGGGGGAAAGGTGCCCACTCCAGCTTGGTGCACAGGCTGGAATTCCAGAAAACTCAGGCATCATGCACCCTGCCCGACCACCCCACATAAATGTCAGTAGAGTGGCCCTGGTGGTCCACCAGGGCCTGCATGACTACTGAGAAGTAGCCCTTGTGGTTGCTGAAGTGGGTCAGTTATTGTTCTGGGGCCCAGATGGGGATGTGTGTGCCATCAATGGCTCCCCCGCAAATCTGCCCAAGGTTGCATCCCGGTCTTGGAGCTGAATGACTCTGCGCAGCAGCAGGGAGTCGATGGCCCTGATGACCTGCAGAAGGAGACAAAGGAAGACACAAAGAATGAGAGAGGAGTTGCATGAGCCCTTGGGAGGTGCCTATTGACCTCCCAAGAGCCACCCACGATGATCCTGTGCCCCTTCCCTGGCTGCAAGGCTGTGTGAGGGTGGGATTGCACAAGACCCCGGGGCCAGGCCTTTACCCCCATCCCCAGTCCACCCCTACAGTCCCTAGCCCCCCTTTTCCTGAGACTCCCCCTTATCCAGCACCCTCCCTCACCCAGGTTAGAGACTGCAGCACATGAGCTCCTTACCTGCATGAGGATGGCCCCAGCGGTTGACTTCCCCACCCCAAACTGGTTGGCCACCAAGCGGTAGCTCTCTGGGGTGGCCAGCTTCCAGAGAGTGATTGTGACACGCTTCTGGATGGGGATGGCAGGCCACAGGTGGGTGTCATGTCGCTGGAGGGCCGGTGGCGAGCCAAGCACAGAACTCAAGGAAGGTGGCCTTGCGCATTCTAAAGTTGTGACGCTTCTGGATGGGGATGGCAGGCCACAGGTGGGTGTCATGTCGCTGGAGGGCCGGTGGCGAGCCAAGCACAGAACTCAAGGAAGGTGGCCTTGCGCATTCTAAAGTTGTGCAGCTACTGCTGGTCGTCCCTCCACTCCATGACCAGTTGGTCCCACCACTACGATCTGGTCTCCAGCCTCCAGAACCTCTTGGGTACGGTGGTGTGCGGCAGCCAGACTGGAGCAGCCATAGGCATGCAGAGGGAAATGAGGAGGAGTTCAGTGTCCATGTTCAGCTGGGATCAAGTGCTGCAGAAACTGCAGCACAGCTGTTTGGGGCCATCACGTGCCCAGGGGCAGCTCAGGCTCCATGGCAAACAGCAAAAGGCAAAAAGGTGTGTCGTCCCCAAAAAAGCAAAGGGCACACACAGCAGGCACCGCTGAAGCTTTGCTTTGCCAAAGAGGCTAGCAAGCAGGCAGCAGAAATGGAGAAGTGGCTGTCCAGGGGGGTCCCTTTAAGTGCGTGTCTCTGGAGGGCTCCAGCAACAGCACTCAAGAGCAACTGATGACCTCTAGCCTGGCTAGAACCGGTCTGGTGGCTTTTATAGGTGGGAGAGGATCCAATAGTTTCTCTTGTGCAAAAGTGCATTGCAAAAGCGACATGCTTTGAAGTGTGGACATGCTCTTGTGCAAGAAGTTTTTGCACAAAAACTCGTGCACAAAAGGCTTCTTGTGCAAGAAGTCTGCAGTGTAGATATAGCCTGAAACAGCAGAAGCTACCCACTGCAGAGAGGTAATGCTTAGGAGGGTCCTTGTTCATCTTCATCCCGTGGAAGGATGCAAAGAGACAGGAAAACCCCCAAATTCTCAGGGGGGGCATGCTCCTGCATCTACTCTGGGTGGCTAAGGCTGAGGGAGAGCATTGTAAAGGTGGGAGCAGGCTGGGGAGCTGCTGCTCCACAGGGCAGTGCTCCTTTTCCACAGATAGCTGGCTTCAGGCTAGCAGTGCAGTACAGTATCCAGCCAGGTATCTGACTCCACTGCAGACTCCCAGCTCCACCTCCCCTGGGCAAAATGAAAAGTGGGCACTTCCCCTCTCTGACTTTTAGTGGCTTGGTCCTGCTCCCACTGAGAGCAGTGGGAAGTTCTCCATTGATTTCTATGGGAAAAGAATAAGGCCATTAATACTTAAGCCCAGGAGGTGGGGGGCTTGCGTTGGGTGCACTCCTTGTTCATAAGCCCCAAGGAACCGCACGGTAGTTGAAGTTGCACAGCTGTATCTCGCCATTACATTAGATAGTGTCCACACCTTTGTGAAGGAATGTTTTAGTTGAAGTTATTATTAATATTTTTTAACAGATTGCTTTTTTGGACAATAGGAAACATTTTGAAAAAAATCCCGCTATTATTCAAAATTTCCCATTTTGCCAAAAATGAAAAAATAATATTACTAATGAATGCTTATCAGATTCCTTAACTCTTCCTTAGCACTGTTCAACAGTAAAACTCAAAGCACTCCATCCAGGGAGTCAGCATTATTATTCCCATTTTTTAGATGGGGGAAACCAAGACACAATGAGGCAATGGGTGAATATTTTTGTTTTAAACACATTTGAATGAAATAAAAAAGTAAAATGATTTTTCATGTTTTTGGAACCCTTGTATTTAGTTCCCCCACATTTTTCACACTGGAGAAACAAAAACCAAACCTCTTTTTTTTCTTTTTCATTGGAATTCAGTTGAATCTAAATGAAAATTTTAACTTACAATTTCTATACAAAAATATTTGGAGAAAAAACTAAGAGACTGTGAAGATGTTGAGCAACATGAACATGGCTTTATCTTCTTCAAACATTTAATAGACTATACTTGCTATTTTTTTTACCAGACTCAGGAAAGTATCATCTTGTTTCAGTTGAGTACAGAGGGAACAATTAACTGGGAATAAGAAATCACTGTTCTGGAACCATGTTTTAATCCCCAGCAATTTTCATTTTCTGCCCCTTTTATATGAGGTGTTAACTTTATTGTTCTAAGAAACTTACGTGGAATGCCTTCCAGATCTGACATGGCCGTGGGATCTAGCATTATACAGACAGCCAAGCAGCCAACCACTATTCAGTACTAGCAAACATCTGCACTAAGAGTGCTTTATAATTTCCCAAAGCCTGAGTGCTGGGACATCTGCTTATATCACATGACAAGCACTGGGAGAAACTAAGTTACTTACCCTAATGCAGCTGCCCCTTTCACCACTGCAGTGCTTGGAAAGAAGAAACGTTCTGTGTTTTCACAAGCCACATTAACACACGCAGGCGCATGGAGGAACTTCGATGTCTTCCATAACAAAAATGCTCCCAGATACAGGAGGCTCTGCATTGCTATGCTCAGCAAGGATTTCCTTGGTTTTAGTTAGAGGCTGAGGAATGTTTCCACTAACTGTTTCCAGATGTGCCTACTTGGCAACCCACTGATGAAGCATTACGGAGGGGACATAGGATCTCCACTATCAAACTGGATGTAAGTATATAGCTTTTATGTTTGATTGGGGGGGATGTGTTATGACCTGGAGACGCTCTTATAGTCATGCTTTTGTTTTAGTCAGTCCACAGATTTTTGTCCGGCAGTAGTTTATAAAAGAAGCTAGGCAGATCATTTTATCATGATTTAATGTGCAGCACAGCTAGTTAAAATGAACTGGTTTTGGCCAACTTTGCATTGAGTAGTGTTTTACTCCATAGTAACATCTTTTTTGCATGTTTTTAGATTTTGTTTTTTATGCAAGACATCAGGGCTTCTTTATGGGGAGTAAAAGCTGCAAGAAAAGCTGTTACATTTCAGATGTAATCATATACAAATATGGGCACATTATGCTTACAAGACCTTCTTTTTTGGGTTGCACTCATAATTTGTATGCAGTCCTCTTTACCAGAGTTTCAGTGGTGTAATCTTTGGAGTTAAATCCACGTGTACATAATTTTGCAAACTGTTACACAATTTTACATATATTTCATTAGAATTTAACAGTGTCACATATAACCAACGCAACAGGTTTTTTTTGTCAGACTGTGATACAATGTAAGTAGTAGTATCTCATTTCATTAATATCCCATTCAAATTGATGGGCATATTTCCAGAATAAAGTTCTATTCAATATATATTTAGGGACTTAGTAAAATTTGCATCACAAATGGTAATAGCATTGTAAATCATTATGGAAGACACTAACTTTAAATTGATTTTAGTTGCTGTCCTTCAATGGCACAACATGAAAAGAGGCTAGATTTACCATTTCACGGGGGATTGGGGAAAGAGAGAGAAGGAAAGACAGGGGGTGACACAGTTATTGGGGAAGAAGCTTAGGGTCAGTAGATGTTGAGTACCAGGAAAAAACACACTAAAGGCTGCAGTGTTTTTCTGGGGCTTGGGGGGAATGTAGGTAAAAGTTTCTAAAACCTGGAAGCTAAAGACAGGCTTCTGTTCCATAGTAAACTGCTATAACATCCCCAAAGATAAACTGCTATAACATAGTAAACTGCTATAACATCCATAGTAAACTGCTATAACATCCCCAAAGTGCTGAGCATGATGCACCTCTGGTCTTCAGTGGGAGCTGCTGAATGCTAAGCAGGTCTGGCTCTCAGGAGCCTAAGTATAGATTTACACACTCACCTCTAACACTAACATTTTTTTCAAAATCTTGGCCCTATGTTGCAAATCATCTGGACTTCTCTTACCTTTCAGGTTAGCAAAACAAGCCCCCAAACCCTATAACGGAACAGTCACTTTTAACAAAAGCTGGAGCTGGTGGTTACTCTCATACCATACACCAACAGCTGACTTGGGACTGCTCCCAGCGGGGTGATTCACTGCTCAACAGAAATTCTTTTCTTATGTTCAGCTAAACAAAGCTTACAGAACATTTTCCAAGTTTGTTTGTGGATTAAAAAACTTCTAGGCATCTTACTGAGAGTGATTATATACTGAGTTAATGTACTGGCTGCTGTTAGTATATAGCTACCTGCCTGTCATCATTTCACAAGTATGAAGACTGCATACTTGGAACGTCTCTGTTAGCATGCCCCTTTCCCATGGGGCTCACCGTGATGCCCCAAAAGGGGTAGTGGGAAGGTAGGGTCATGGCCCCTGTCTGCACCAACCCATGTACTGGACTAGAACGTGTTGCCCTGAGCCTACTTCCTCACTCTGCCATCAAGGACACTGGGCACCTCATAGGTTGCAGAGACAGGTGAGAAGAGTCAATCTCCCCCCTCCCCCCATCTGGCACTAATGTACAAAGTGGCCACACTATGGGTAGAAAGACTGTGCAATCCCAGACCACTTGGGGGAGATGGAGTCCCAGAGACAATCTCTCCTGAACCTTCCCATGTGCTATGGCAGCCTCTCAGTACATGGCTAAATACTGAAAGAGCCACAACAAACCAAAGCTTGTGAACCGTGTATGTCAGGGACACAAAAACAGGGTCTCATGCTGTAACCCTCACTCTTAAAAGGCCTAGCCATGTGCGCCCAATCCCTTGCCTCAGTGTGCACCCCTGAATCTTGATGACTTCAAGTAGAGTCCCATGCATGTAGCAAATGCAGGGCTCTAGTATTGCGCCCAACAGTGGCAACTGAATTTTGTTTTGTCTCCCATTTAATTTTGGGTTTCTCTCTCTATATATGTTGCAGCTTTGTGTGACTGTCTGTGAGTCTGTTTGTTCAAGAACTCCTCCTTGAACTAGGACTACCAAATTCGGTAGGCAGCTTCCTCTTAACATAACTTAAAGCCAGATCAGGGTTCGGTTGTGCCAGGAAAACAGGATGTGCCTGGAGTTTGATTGTTTTCCATAACATGGAAAGGGAGGGGGCAGAGAGAGGAGAGACACAATATTCATAGTCAACACTGGGGGGCAGTGAGCACAGGGGACAGCTATAGTTCAGAGTGACCACGGGGCAGTCTCACCACCATGGGAGTGGCCAGCTGGAGATGGGGCTCACCATGTTGCCTGCTATCAGCCCAGGTAGGTGGCCTCCTAGCCCAAACCCTCTTCCTCCCCTGGCCCTCAGCCCCAGACAGGCCAGCCCCACTGCTGTGCCCCCCACCCCAGAGCATCACTGGACCATCCACTGTGGCCATATGTCTAGGCAACCTGAGCAGCCTCCTCTTCCCCCCTTCTCCCTCGGCCAGGCTTGGGGAATTCCAGCAGGAGGCCTACATGACCTTCCCTGCTTTCAGGTTGGGCATATTTTCAAAGTTTGTTTGTGGATTTATAAATGTATAAAGATGATTATTTAATAAGTTAGGTTACTGGTTGTTTTTGTTACTTCCTTTCCCAGGGCTTTATACTGCATTATACTATATTTGCATGACTTCCCAAGATCACAAAACTTTGTAACCTTATAACCTTTGTAACCTTATAACTTCATATTAGACCTCCTCTCAAGATAACTCTTTTTCATGCATATAGAGAAATCCTCATGGCACCAGACCACCACCATTTGTATTATACCTTTTGATGATGTTTGTGACTTTGCCTGAAGAAACTCAGTCAAGATTGGGAGTTGGCATGTGCAAGTCAAGCTAGGAAATGCAACAGATGTTCTTTTTAAAAAGCGTACTGCATTTTTCAAATGCACTCCATACACGCGGGGGCCAACAGAATTGCCAGGTTCCTGGGCAAGGTGTGCAGGGGAAAGAAGGGGGGAGCTGTGCTTCTAGGAGGGGTAGGTGGAAGAGGTGATCTCAGAGCGACCCAGAGCACAGCTGCCCAGCTGCCCACCTTCACCAGCCATCAGAGCTGCCCAGAGCATGGCATTCCACTGGCAACTTAAAGGACTTGGGGCTGCAGGGGCTGCCACTGCTGCATTACTAGTGGCCAGGAGCCCCAGACCCTTTCGAATGGCCGGATCCCAGGATCCTTTTGTCCCAACCCTGTCAGCAAGCCTGCCAGATGCTGGGCAATGATTTGAATTAGAGAACAGCAGTTTAGTTTGCAGAAAATACCATTTTGCCATTTAAAATTTGCTCCTGCCAAAGAAACGTCAACTACTCATTCCAAAATTAACATTGTCCTGACACCTGACCTCAGAGCTGCTCTGCGGGGCCAAACATGGACGTCATCTCAAACAGTGGAAAGGCCTCATCCAGATGACAAAACTGCATTAATGAAACTATGAAACAATGTGTAATTTTAAAACAATTGCAACAGGCTTAGGCTGGAGGGCTACCAGAGAGTGAGATAAGGGAAATATGTTAGCTCTAGATTATATAGGTCCCTGTTCCAGAGTAGACTAACAAGATCTGATCCAGAACTACAGGAACCTGCTAGAACCAATCAATCATAGCTAATTAAAACACCTGGAACCAATTAGGAGGCTTCCAGAGTCAGGCTAATCAGATCATCTGGAGGCCAATTAAAAACCAGTTGGGACAGGTTTAAAAATGCTTCCCTTCTGTTAGCTCAGTGTGAGAAAGGAGCTGATGAGAGAAAGTACAGGCAGGTACTACCAAGAGGAAGAACGTGTGGTAGGGAAGGCGCTTGGGAAGGCTGTGGGGAAGTGGCCCAGGGATTTGTAGCTGTCATGAACTCATAGCAGAGACGTTACAGACAGCTGTTAGCACAGGGTCCCTGAGCTGGAACCCGGTCTGTGTCTAGACTGGCCAGTTTTTCCGGAAAATCAGCCGCTTTTCTGGAAAAACTTGCCAGCTGCCTACACTGGCCGCTTGAATTTCCGCAAAAGCACTGACTTCCTACTGTAAGAAATCAGTGCTTTTTGTGGAAATACTATGCTGCTCTCATTCGGGAAAAAGTCCCTTTTGCGCAAAACTTTTGCACAAAAGGGCCAGTGTAGACAGCTGAGATTTGTTTTGCGCAAAAAAGCTCTGATCGCGAAAATGGCGATCGGGGCTTTTTTGCGCAAAAGCGTGTCTAGATTGGCCACGGATGCTTTTCCGCAAAAAGTGCTTTTGTGGAAAAACGTCCATGCCAATCTAGATGCTCTTTTCCGAAAATGCTTTTAATGGAAAGCTTTTCCATTAAAAGCATTTCTGGAAAATCATGCAGGCCTGGGTTTCCCCTGGCCCCCTCTACCTTCTTGCTGTCTGGGGCTTCTCACCACCCTGTTCTACTGGGACAGATATTCTGGTCTCCCCCAGACAAGGCATGGAGCTGAGACTACCCCCAAGAGCAATGCGGACACTGAATCACTTTAGCTTTGAGGAGGATGGAGTTTTGGACACACCATTGAGGAAATCAGCCCCCAAATGGGATTAAACCCCCAAATAAATCCATCTTTCATTGTTAGAATTTCACACAGCGAAAGCCCATTCAGGCAAGCCCCCTTTAACACTGAAAGGAGGATGTGCACACTGCTCCCCCAGGTAACAATTCTTTACACTGGGCTTGATAGTAAAGAAAAGTGATTGTATTAAGTACAAGCAGTAGGATTCATGTGGCTGCAAGTGAAAATGGATAGAGCGAAGTAAATTACAAATTTAAAATAAAAGAAAAAGCATA